CCTCCTGATTCCGCTCCCTTTGGAAAATAAGTTTTGATCTGCAGCCCTGACATTTGATGCCCATAAACCTCTCAACCCCATCCTCATTATCTCCTCACCCCCACCCCATATAGAGTGCAGTCCAGTCAGGTTGGTTAGGGCCAGATGACCAGAAAGTGTAGAGGAGAAGAGAATTTGGGGCTCTCAGACTGGGAGTAGCTAGGGAAGGGCCAGGCCGGAAAAGCAGCATCTGCCAGGCTGGGAAGAGACAAGGCTCAAGTGCAGGCACTGCGAGGAAGCGCGAGTGAGGCAGAAGGATGCTCTAATGCCAGGAAGTGACGTGCAGGGACAGAGGGATGGGGGATGAAGGATGAAGAATGGAGGGGAGGATGGAGCTGGGCCACATGGCTAGGAGGAAGAGCAGCACGGAAGGAATGCACAGAGAGCTCTTTGCCCCCAAGTTCTTCCAATCCCTGTCTCCTCCCTCTCTACTCCCACTTCTCACAATTCCAGCAGAGGGCTGAGGGGAACACAGTAAAATTCTGGAGACTGCTTCCTAGCGAGCAGAGTACCTTACTAATACCCCGGCCAGATCCATGGCTTGGAGAGAGGTGGGGTAATCCACAGGACAGTGAAGGCGTTCTAGTCCCCAAGGACTTTGAGAGGTCATGCAGTCCATGCCTCAGTCTCCCAATACCCAGCAGAGGGGAATCATATTCTCTTTACCCCTCCCTACACATGAAGAGATTCTCCGCTTCTCTCAGACCCTCTGCTTCCCACAATCCCTGGCTGTGGGGAACTTCTCTTAAGGCATAGATTGGATCCCTCTTGCTGCAGTCTCTGACTTGGTTTCTCGTATCCTGTCCTCTGTGGCTAGAGAAAGGCCTCTTCTGGGTGATCACAGAGGTTCCTTAGGATCTCCCCTCCAACATTCCTTCATCCTTAGTTGGTTCTTCCCAGAAGGTAAGCCCAATCCCTTCTACTGCAGTCCCTAGCACACTCCCCGTTGTCGCATCCTACGCCTCCAAGGCAGAAATGCACCCCTTCCCCACCAAATAATTAACAGAGACAAGGGAGAAGAATGGAGAGGTCCAAGAAGATGGGGATGAATTAAGGAGATGGAGCTGGAGGTGGATGCTCTACACAGAAGAAGGAAGACCGGGACTTCTCAAGGCAGGGCAGGGACGGGGCCAGCGGGCCTCACCGGTGTCGGGGTCTCCTAGAAAGGCGTCCTCGTCCTTGCGGCCCCTCAGCGGGGCCGCGGGCGCCGGCTCGTCCTCCGGCAGCCGCGGGAAGCTGGTGATGCTCATGTAGTCCACTGGCGAGTAGGCGCCCAGGGCGCTCTCCTGGCTGGCCTCGTTCTCCGCCGCCATCCTCGCCCGCGCCCCCCAGCAGCGCAGCGCCTGCCGGAAGTGGCTGCGGCGGGGGAGTGGGAGGGCGGAGGGCGGGGCCTGAGCTTCGGGACAGCCGGGAGGGGGCGCCTCACCCCGCCCTTGGCTGTGTCCCGGTCTGACTCGCCCCCGCCTGCTCAGCGCTGTCAGCCTGCAGCTGGCACGCAGGTGCGCGTAGATGGAGAGCCAGGAAGGCAGCGCAGGGTCGAGGGGAGAGCGCGGAGCAAGCGAGACTTCAGTGGCTCTGCACTTCACGCAGCTCAGGGACCAAACTCCTTCCTCCTTCCAGTCTGAATCCAGCTAGTATCCTCCTCAAATCCCGGGCTTCCTTTTCGGACCCCAGACCCTTTCACTGACCGCAAATCCCTCTAGACCCCGATCCTGTCTCTGAACCCAAACTCCTCGGACCCCGGACCCCTCCTTGAACTCCGAGATCCTCCTCCTCTGATTTTAGACTCCTCCTCCGACCTTAGACCTCTTTTTCAACTTCAGACTCTGTCTTCACCCGCAGGCCCTTTTGAAAACCCCAGCCCATACTTCGTCCCCAGGCCTCTTTGACTGCAGACTCCTCTTTGGAGAACAGTTCCCTCCCCTGACCTCAGATCCCTTCCCGCACCTCGACACTTCTGACTCCTCTTTCAACCTCATTCTCAAACTTTAGTGTGTGTTAGGATCCTTGAAAGCGGATCCCCAGATTCCACTCCAGAGATCATGATTCAGTAGGCTGGGATGAGGTCCTTGGAACCTGAATATTTACCATCATTTTAAGAGTTTTTGATGTGGTTCTGGGAAGGACACTTTGAGAAAGAAGGAGTGGTGGTAGTGGTGGTAGGGCAGGAATGGGCCAAGGTGGGGAATAGGTCTCTATAGTCTAAATGTCTGGGTTCTATTCTGCTACCGCTCAAACACTGTGTAATCCTGGGCAAGACAATTAATCTCCCTATCAGTTTCCCCATCTGTGAAATGGAAAGAATAATAGTACCCATTTTAGAGGGTTGTCATGAGGATTAAGTAACAGAATGGAAAGCAATTAGTATAGGGCTTGGCACCTACTCAATAAATGGCATCATCATCATCATCATCATCATCATTGCCTTAATCTGGTAAACTCATTCCCTCCAAACCCATCCATCCTCTCTCCACTTAGAAATTCCAACCATGCTACAGCTTGTACTACTTCTCCATATCCAAGGATGAGGGAGGTTCCTTCTCTTACGAGGTCTCTGGTCCAAACTTTCATTGTGAAGTCCACAGGAAGAGAGAGGGGGCTGGTGAAGCCTCTATACACACATTCTTTCTCTTCCCAACCCCAGACCAGTCTCGGATAGCCTGAAGTGCTTGAAAAATCTACTATATGCACAGCAGCTGCAGTAGCAACTATAGACAGGAGGGGGAAGCAGTGTGTCGGAAACAGCTCTGGGGTTTGGTGGTAGGACTTGGAAGAGAGGATAGGAAGGAGAGGGCTACTCAGAGCTGTGTGGTAGGAGTGCCCAGGGAGGGTAACAGTCTGTCACCAAAACGTGTACCCATTGTGTGTGCCTCTCCCCACCCCAGAGAGTTTTTATCTCCTCAGTGATGTCTGTAGGGTCTATTACACTACCCTGAGGTCTAATCCCTCCAGTGGGACCTTTCTCCACTCAATGAGGTCTGCGCCTTCTCAGTGATGTCCACTCCCACAGTGTAGCTGGCGGCTCCTCAGTGGGGTTTGAGTCCTCTGGTAGGGTCCATGTCTCCTTAGTAAAATCTATATCCTCTGTATCTCCTAGGGGAAATCCATGTCTCCTCACTAGGGTAAGTGCCCTTCAATGCCATTCATGTCCTATTAGCAGGGCCCAGGGCCCTTCAGTCGGATCTGAGAACCCCCAGCAACATCTGTGCTCCCTTAGTGGAGTCCATGTACTGTCAGTGAAGTGTGTGTCCCTTCGGTGCAGTGAATGTCTCCTTGATGAAAGTATCTGACCCCTTGGTGGGGTCCATGTCCACTCCAAGAGGTCTGTACTCCTTCAGCAGGCCCTGAGATTCCCACCCTCCTCAGGTTTGGGCAGACTCTCGGTCTCCCATGGGAAGATTTTTTTTTCAGCTTAGGGTGTGCAAGGTTTACAGTCAGCTGGGCAAAGAGCAGGGAAGTAGGTGGGAAGGGAGGCTGGGCTAGATGGGGTCACAAGGCCTGTGTAAGCTTCAAGAGGTGGGAGCTGCCTGCTTCAGGCCTCAGAATCACTCTTGCAGTTAGAGATTTAAGAATCCTTCCTGCCTTGACAGCCAGTCTGTGAACTGATGGGTGAGGTGAGTCCTTCTTCATGGTGAGTGCAGGTGAGAGATGGAAGAGGGTCCTGCCTGACTTCTTTCTGGGGTGGAGGGGCTAGAGGGAAGCTAGAGGTAATTAAGCCCAGGTTGTGGTGGTGGTGGTGGTGGGGGTTTCCCTTGGTGAAGTAAAGAGATTGTGAAGGAAAGAAAAGAATGTGGGCTGGGTGCGGTGGCTCATGCCTTTAATCCTAGCACTTTGGGATCCCAAGGCGGGCAGATCACCTGAGGTCAGGAGTTCAAGATCAGCCTGGACAACATGGTAAAATCCAATCTCTACTAAAAATACAAAAATTAACTAGGCGTGGTGGCGTGCACCTGTAATTCCAGCTACTCGGGAGGCTGAGGCAGGAGAATTGCTTGAATCCAGGAGGCAGAGGTTGCAGTGAGCCGAGATCGAGCCATTGCATTCCAGCCTGGGAGACAGAGCGAGAGACTCTGTCTCAAAACAAAAACAAAAAACAAGAATGTGAATGATTTTTCCTATTTGCACAGACTGATATTTTACAAGCCTTAGCTTCAAGCCTGTTGAGGAAGTAAAACCAAATCTGTAGTCAAGGAACCTAGCTTTGACCCTAACTTGATCGTCATTTGCTCTCTGACTTTGCACCAGTTCCTTCCCTTTCCTGGGTTTGCCATTCGTGCAATTAGGAAGTGGGTTTATTATAAAAAACCTGAATGTGTCTCCTAGTCTTCACTTATTGAGTCTTGTACTTTAGATCTGGATGGAGATTTGTGAAGGCAAGGAGATTGAAGACATGTCCTCATAAGAGGGAGAAAATCTGAGCTGGCTCCAGGGTGAGCAGAGAGGGGGTGCTGTCACCAGAGCATGCCCTCAAGGTCATGGGAGAAGTTTTTCCGGAGGACGGAATGTGGGTGTGGCTCAGAGAAGAGGGAACTAGAGGAAAGGGTGTCACCTGAAAGGGACCCTACCCCACATGGCTTTCCAACTCAATGGGGTGATAGTCAGGACTGTGCAATCAGATCAGGGGGCGGCTCCGCGATGGACCTTACTCAACTCCTCTCCTTAGTCCAGCCCCTTCCCTTTCGATCCCCGCCCTAACCCAACCCCTTATCTGTCACTCCAAGACCCCACCCCACTCTGGTCACTCCATGGCTCTGCCTCCTCTCCTGTCATAACCAGCCGGGTTACTCCCCATCACTCCATGGGCCCGCCTCCTCTCCTGTCCCGCCTGGCTCCGCCCCTCCTCTGGCATTCTACAGTTCCACCCTCTCACTTGTCGCACCGGGCCCCGCCTCTTCTGCTTTCACTCTACGGCGTCACTCCTTCCGGCAAGTCAGCTCCGCCCCTATCCCGCGACTTTTCCTTATAGTATTTCTGTCCTTGCTAACCTCGATCCCGCCCCAACCAGGCATGGTCCCGTCCCTCTGGCACCGCCCACCCGCCAGACCAAGCCACGCCCCCACTCGCCAGGCCCCGCCCCTCCTCGGAGGCCCCGCCTCTAGGTCGGCCTGTTTTCCCAGTCCCGGCACCCGCCGCGACCGCAAAGGCGGCCACGGTTCTAGGAACTTGACGTGATGGGGCTTCCTGAGGAGCGGGGCCGGAGCGGCAGCGGCAGCCGGGGCCAGGAGGAAGCGGGAGCCGGAGGCCGGGCGCGGAGTTGGTCTCCGCCGCCCGAGGTCAGCCGCTCCGCGCACGTCCCCTCGCTGCAGCGCTACCGCGAGCTGCACCGGCGCTCCGTGGAGGAGCCGCGGGGTGAGGCCCGGCCCGGGTGGGCCTCGGGGTGTCAGTGAGGAGAGGAGTGGGGGCTCCCTGGGGGAATCTGGGGCTCCCTTGGGAAGCTGAGGGGTCCGTGAGGAGATGGAGGTTCTATGAAGGAAGAATTGCGGTTCTTTGAAGATGGAAAAGGGATTCCGGGAGGAGACGAGGCTTACATGGGAGCTGGGGAGTTCCTGGAGACTTGAAGGGTCCGTGGGGGAGATGTGGGTTTTTGCGAGGAGACGCGAGATTCCGTGAGGGAAGAAGTGAGGTTCGTTGAGGTTGGGACGGAAGGTCGGCCAGGAGAGTGAAAGTTTCATGGGAAGAGAAGGGGAGTTCCTGAGGCGAAAAGAGGGTCTCTAAGGGGCGACGGGAGCTTTGAGGGGAGGAGGGCCACCAATAGAACTTTCTTTGCTTCCCTTTCACACCAGCTCGGCCGCTGCCTCCTGAGATCTTTAACTTGTGAACTGTTGAGGGCAATAACGGGTCTGGTTCCCATCTTGGGGTCCTCAGATTAGTAATCAAGAACTGATCTATTTTTAGTATATCGGACATCCCAATAGAAATTACGCGGTGTAAGACTCAACGAGTTACTTCGATGTCAAGTTGTTTTATTTTTATTTTTTTAACTTGGGCTGGGATTGTATTAATAATAATTCAGAAGTTCTGATAGATGGTTCCATGTCTGTTAAAATGTATGAGGAAAATCGGCTGGCAGCAGTGGCTCACGCCTGTAATCCCAGCACTTTGGGAGGCCGAGGCGGGCGGATCACTTGAAGTCAGGAGTTCGAGACCAGCCTGGCCAACATGGTGAAAACCCCGTCTCTACTAAAAATACAAAAATTAGCCGGCTGTGGTGGCGGGCACCTGTAATCCCAGCTACTCGGGAGGCTGAG